TATATATATATATGTATATATATATATATATATATGTATATATATATATATATATATATATATATATATACGGATATATTTTTGTGTTGCTTTTCGTTTACACCTCACCTGGCTCAGCCCTGACGTTCTACCGCCTTCCATTTCGCCGCCGTCTCCAAATCGTCTAAAAAAAACACAGGAGTTGCATGCACAGTCAACTCGCTGAAAATATATGCAGAATTTAATTAAGTTTTCTGCAGAATTAAGTAGTTTAAGAGAAGTAAACAATCATTTTCATCAAAACACCCAAGATAAAATTGCGCTTATACAACGTCTGGTGCACTGTACATTTGTTTGCTTTCGCTGTTCGTATTTCACATTTTGTTTTTGCATTTGTTTGTTAGTGCTTGTTTTTTTAAACTGTTTTGTGTTTGTCTCAACGCCGGGCTGCTTATTGCATCCATTCTTACAGCTGCGTGAAATAGAGAGAGTTCAAGTGGCTGACCTGCTCAGAATTTTTTCTGCATCCCCCAATGAATCCTGCAGTTCCTGGCGCTCCAGAACTGCAACGACGCAGCCGTCGGGGGCCGCAGCGATAACAGAAACATCCGAGGGAATGTCGTGGAGAAGGGCCAACGCGTTTATGTTGTCGCCTGAAACAACAGGAAAAGAAAGTACAAGAGGCGTTTCTCTATTGTTTTTGAACGGCTGTTGTGTACAAAAGTTGATTCTTTATTTTTTTTAATTTTTTTTATTTTTTTTTAAAACTCCTGCAGTTTACCTGGGCCGAATTCATCAACCACGTCCGGGTTCCCCTGGCGTTCAACGAAGCGAACGGCTCTCGCGCATCCTTTGGCAAACAAATCCCAGAAGGAAAAATTAGAAAATAAGCAAAAGTAGATATATATGAATTGTCATACATGAGTGCAAACACAAGTGTGAATGAATATAAAGATACGAAGATAGGCATTTTTATCTATATTTTTTTATACTTATTCATCAGCCAGCAAACTATCATATTGAACAGTCGATATATTCGCTTAATTCTGTTCAGAAAGAAGAAAAGAACAACAGATATCACAAGAAAACTGAATTGTTCTGACGGGGAAAATTTACCATAAACGACAATCAACACGCCGGCGCAGACTTCTCCTTGAAAGCAGATGACTTCGTCTGGCAGATAAATTCTCCACTTCATCAGCGTCGCTACTTGCACTCTTTCTCTCCTAAAAAACAAACAAAAACAATCAAACAAACAAACCAACATAATCAGAGTTACAAGAAAGCAAATATTATCAGCAAGCCGCTGGCAGGTTTCGGGTTTCTGTTGCTTCTGCTGCAATAAAGGGCTTAAAAACTATTTTTTGTTTCACACATTCGTTGCGGTGTATCAGGTTAAGTAGCACCGCTGGCTTGGGAACATAAAGTAATGAATTCAAATTCCATTATTTTAAAATTTAAACACAGTTGTTGAGCATCTATTTATGCTTACTTCGTTAAGGAATCCAATATAGGGCAATGCCCTAGGTAACTCATAACCTGCGACGCTCTTCGGAATATGCAAGCTGAAGAGCAATCAACAAAAGCAGAAAACATGAAAAGCACCAATTTATTCAACTTATATATGCCATTCGCGCTCAGCAGATCATTCTTTACATACTTCGGTCACTTTTATTCACCCTGTAATAGAAGTATATATACGTATATATACTGCCTGCGTGCAGCTCGTGGTAGAATCTGCTATGCTTACCGCTGATGATCTGTTGAAAGGAGTGAAAGCTGAGTTTCTGCAGCGTGCAGGGGCGCAGAGCCATGACGGAGTGGTTGGTCTGTGCTTCTCTGACGAACGCCCGCGGGAGCACGAAGGCTCCTTGTCCGATTTTAACTGGAAATTTATCTTCAGGAACTTCGACGTCATAGCTGCTGCGCCGGCGTGCAGTGTATGCTGGTGGTGTTAGCTCTGTTGTTCTTGCTGGCTGCTGTTCTGCTCCTGCGTGGGGCTCCGTCATTCCGAGCTCGCCCGAAACCAAGAAGTACAGAGTGTCAACCTTCTCTCCCCGCTGCACAAGCATACAGCCTTTGGGGATCTGCACGAAGCTGTTCAGCATCAAGTGGATGCAGTGCTGCCGCTCCTCCGGCTCCAGCAGAGCAAAGATGCTGCTGCTCATGACAGCAGTCGTCAGGTCTGGCTGACTATTCGCGAGAAACAGTTCAATACGGTCATCTTCATCTACCAGCCCCGCAGCAGAAGGCCGCCTAAAACCACCAGCAGCCGCAGCAGCTGCAGCTGCAGCGAACCTGTCAAAAGCCGCCGCTCTACCCGGCCGATGTCCGTATGACCGGTCCCCAAGCGCTGCGTAGACACCCGGGCCGCCTGCGGTATCGCTGCGCCGCCGCTGAGAGGGTACATATGTATCTGCTTCTGCATGAAGTGGCGAGCGCGCTGCAATTATATGACGCTCCACTCCCGACCGGAAGTCAGTAGGCGAGCCAGCAGACAAAGAAGGGAAGGGCACAAGAGGTCCGGCTTCCTGCTGTGTGCGGTATTCAGTTGCTTTGTTTCTAGCGCCACTCGATGCATTCGACTCTATTTCCACTTCTTCATATTCTTCTTCTTCATCGTTGCCTTCATCTCCCCCCGAAACGGCACTGCCAAACTGCGGCGAGTCCTCCTCCTGCACTGATGGGTCCGAGGGGAATTTGTTGTATGCTCTCCCTGATGAAAGACGAAGGGGCTGAGAAGATGAACTGTCATGTTGAACCCTCTCCTTTGGTCCTTGTCCGCGCTCGGGAGAGGCCCGGCGGAAGGACTCTGCAAGCGAAAACGTCGGCGAGGCCTCCCGGTCTCCCTTCCGTGTGAAGGTAAGAGTAGTATCACCGCTGAGCTGCCCCGAGGCAGACGCTGCTGGTGCTGTTGCCTCCTGCTGCTGCCCCTCATCTGCAGCGGGTTGGTTGCTGCTGTCTGATATACTGGAAGTGCCGACCATTAGTGAAAACGCAGCGCTGGCGGCGTCAGGAGAAATAGTGCCTCTTTCGTCTTGTGGGTATTTGTCTTTTTCGTCTTCACCTTCAACGTCAAATATGTTAGGAATTGTTGCTAAGACAGAACTTTGACTGCCCATGGGGACCCAGTACGGTTCTATTGCTTCCTTGCTGATAGCAGGTCCTTTGGCATCCTCGATTTCTTCTGCTTTGTTTATAGTTTCCACTGCTGGTTGCGGTGATTTGGCCTCCTTACTGCCTTTTTTGCTGCTGTGAGATAAAGAAAAGGCACTCCTCAGCTTGCTGTACATACTCTTCTTCTTGCGGTTGCTGCGGCGCGAAGCTGCCCCGGCCCCCGCTGCGTTGCTCTTTGACTTTTTCCGTTTCTGCCCCTCACGTCCTTCCCCCTCCTCTTTATGTGGAGGTTCTGCAGGGGTCTGTGTCTCTGCTTTTTCTTCAGCTGGAGAGGTTGCAACGGCCAACGAGGAGGCTGAATAAGTCCCCCGTTCTTCGCGTTCTAACGTCAACAAAGAAGGGGAAGAAAGCGCATGCGATGGGGGCCCCTGCAAATCGTGTGTAGTTTGTTCTGCATTGGTTGTTTGCTGCGATGCAATGGGGTCTGCGAGTTTGGTGCTGTCCTTGAGCGCATGCAGAGAGCCCTCAGAATGCACTGGGGCTGAATATCCATGCTTTAAGGGAAGCAGATCCTCTTCTCTAGATACACGCTGTTGCGCCGCAGAGTCAACAGAGCTTCGTCGTCGTGGTGTTGCCGGGCGTTGCTGCATTTCTGTTGTTGCTGCTGCTGATGCTGCAGTTGCTGGCTCGTGAGCAGCCGCGTTAGACTTCCGGGGAGTGGAAGGGCGCGAAGACGAGCCAAAGAGGCGGCCAACAAACGACTTGGAAGGAGTGCTCGGGAGACGCGCTGCTGTGTGTGGAGACGAAGAAGAAGAAGCAGAGTTTGCGGCTTCTTCTGCTTGTACGGGTGCTGAGGAGGCGTTTGCGCTAGCTGTTATTTGTTTCAATTTTTCGTTGTATTCCCGCATCAACGCCTCCTCCTGTATTTGTCTTTGTCTCTGCATTTCTTCCCTTTCTGCCTCCAGTTGTCTCTTCTCCTCCGCCAGCTTTTGCTTGCAAGCGGCGATCTCTTCTGCGCTTGGAATGACCTCCTGGATAAGCTCTTGTACCTTTTCTGCTGCATCCCACCGCATTTCAATCTCTGTTAGTTTCGCGTTGTTTACATCGAAGGCGGCGGACAGCTGCTCTAGGGACTGGGTGAGCCGTTGTCGTTTCGCGCTGAGTTGTGACTGTCGGAAGGAGAGTTTATTTTCAAGTGTCTTTGCTTCTTCTTGTAACAACGCCAAAGCCGCTTCCAGCTGACTGCACTCTTTCTCTAGAGTTTCATATCCCTCCTTCCCCTCCGTGGCGTCTTCGAATCGCCGCTTGAGGCTTGCGGCCCTCTCAATCTGCTGTTGCAGAAAACAAATGTGGGACCCAGCATCAGATGGCCGTGCTTTGAGCTCGTCGAGAGAGTGTTTGAAGTTTCTATAAGCTGGGTTGCCAACTACCCGCAAGACCGAAGCCCTTATATCTTCTGCTCGCATCATTGCGCGTTCAGCTTCGCTGCCGTTTTTTAGGAGAAGTTTTTCAATTGCAGATCCTCTCATTCGCTCTTCCCTTGCTTCCTTCGCCTTCTCTCCCGCCTCCGCAGCAACGCCATGCAGCTGCTCCACCCCCTGCAAGTCGCGCGTGAACGCAGCCGCTGCACGCGCTACGTAAAACGCCTGCATTTCGACTGTCCTTCCCCACCAAAGTTGCTTGAGTCTGAGGCATACAGCCTCCTGAATGTCGCGTTGCTTCTCCTTAATCATCTGCTGCAGTGCCCCCTGACGTTCTTGCAACTTGGAATACATAAAGGCATCCCTCCATTGCCATTTCATCGCATCTACCAGCCACTGTTCAAACACCCGAAAGCTACCGAAGCCGCCTTCCCCAGAGGTGCTAGAGGAGCTTCCCCCTGACCACACCTGCGCCTCATAGCGTTCAATTTCCGCCTGAGATGCCATCAGCGCGAGGCCGGGAGGCACAGTTTTGACGCAATTCTTTCGCGGGAGGCATTGCTGCAGCGTCAGGGGAGTGAAAAGCCGAGCTGCCTGTACACCTGAAGTTGAAGTGTGCATGTCCTTCTGAAATCCCCCTGCATCGTATCCGTTCGTTGAAACAGACGGGGAGTTGAATGCATACAGTTGCAGACGGGCTATGAACGACGGCAGGCGCCCAAAAGCCTGCTGATGACTCACGATCGAACTGCTGCTGCTCTTATAACGTAGCTCAGCCCCCTGGCCCGCGCTCTTCACACTCTTTTGCTGTTGGTTTCCGATTTCTTGCACACCGTAGAGCGCCTCGAGAGAGGGTGGCTCTTCGAACTCCGCAAAGACCTCCCTGACAGTATCCGCTATTCTGTCCATCAGCAGCTGCACACTCTGGTTCAGTCGAATGCACTCCTCGTGGTAGTTGTGCAACACTTCATCGCGTGTGGATCGGACCTGGAGACACACACACACACACGCACACAGACCAGCAAATGTATCTACTGTCTCCTCGTATATATATATATATATATATATATATATATATATATATATATATATATATATATATATATATATATATTCAAGGGAGGTGTTTGTTTGCAGCTGACCCGTCCATACAGGGCTTCGAGACAGTTTCGATTCTCGCGGAGGGCACCGCACGGACTCTGCCAAGCCTTCAGCTGCTCTTCTTCTCCCTGCAACACAACGAGCAGCAATGCAACCAAACTCATTTCATCTGGTGGATACACAGCAGTACCATAGAAGCTGTAATCAGGCTGAATCCGACATCACGCGACGCATCGTTTGTTTGTTTGTATGAAGTTTTCTTTGCTAGTTTCGCTCGTGGCATAAACTGGAAATGCTGCAGCTATTGGGGAGAAAGAGAAGAAAAAGAGACGGTTTGTTTTATAGGAATTGAGGATATGTAATAATTGGTGTTTACGGGTGACAGACGCAAAAACAACAATTTGTGTTTAGTGTGAATCGAACCCGCAGGTCGTGCTGTGTGGCGCTGTCCGAAGCGGCGGCGTATTTAATTCCATGCATGATGTTCTTAACAACGCCAATCATCTGCTGCAGCTCCCCCAGGATGATCTGTTCGCCCTGGTATCGTATCTGGCTAAAAACCCGTTCATCAGCCCCGTCCATCTGCTCTCGTGCTGCTGCAAGTCGTGCAGCTACTCCCTGTGCAACTTCTGCTGTGTCTTCTTCTTCTTGCTGCTCTTGCTGCTGTTGCTGATGGGGTTGCTGTTCCTGCTGCTGTTTCTCGTTCTGCTGCAGAAGCCGTATATTTTTCTCTAACTCCGCCAAGTGCGCGGCCACAGCCTCCAGGGCTCCCCCGCAGACTGTCATGACACCCGAGGTCGCACCACCTTCTTCTCGTTCGAATTTCGCCAGCCAATCGGCAGCTGAGAAATCCGGCAGTTCATTGAGAGAGGCCAAGGAGAGAGCAGCCGGTGCGTTGACAGCATCAGAGAGGACCGGAGGTACTGCAACAGAAAGCAAGAAAACAGCTCGATTCGTGTTGAAATAAACACAGGCGGGACGCATAGCAAACCAATAGCAAACTGAGAAGGCGCTAGGATATGGTTTGCTTCCTAGACAGCGGCGTTATGGTCTCCCTGCTTTTCTGCAGAGAAACAATATTCAAACAAAATTAAAAACAATAAACAAACAGTAACGGGTCCTTACGGGATGACTCTTTCTCCGCATCTTCAATAGCCAGCGGCGCTCCTTCCCCCTTCAACTGGCGGCTGCCGCGGCTGCGGTGTCTGCTGACACTGCGCGAGAGGAAACTGCCGATGCGGCTGAGTCCAGAGGAGCTGCCGATCCTTTTGCCTTTTTGTGTTTGTTTCTCCTCCGTCTTTGCATCGGTCGAATGAGGCAAATCACCGCCTGTCCGATTGCAACGCGACACAAGTAACGACACAAGACGAAGAAAATCAATCAGGCAATAGAATATAAAGAGAATATAGCTCTCAACATAAAGAATAAATGGAAACGGGGACAAATTTAAAAGGGAACGAACGCCCGTCTGGTGCAACTCACGACACACCAGACACTTGACGTTCTCAGAGAGTACGCATACACCGGAGTGTTGCATTCATAGGCTACCGGCTTGTTCGTGCAGAGGTTAAGTTAAGAGGAGTCACTGCTTGCAGATGTTGCAGATAAGGCAGCTGGTGGGTGTCAGACATATGGAAGGACTCAGACGAGATGCGACTAGATAAATCGAGTTGAAGGGGTCCACAGAAACAACAAAGCTCTGAGATGTATGCCGTGTGTTATTGCTTCTGCTGCTGCTGCTTTTGGGTGTGAACGCACCTATGTGGCTGGAGGTGTCGCTTGCATCTATCAAGTTGCCCGGGTCGCTCGGGGCGCTCCTCCTTCTGGCGCTGTCTGCCCTGGGGTCCCCCATGCTGGCACTGCTTGCATGCAGCAGGCTGCTTGCATCCACCATGCTGTTTGCATGGAATGCACCCAGCGACTGTGCTGTGTGTGCACGACGCACAGAGGACCCATCTTGTGCAAACTTCTCGTGCGTTTCGTCCCTGAGTTTGGCTCTGCTGGGGACAGACCTGAACATTGCTGCAAGCGAGTGATCACCTTTGCCGGTGACATTGCCACTTGGTGTGTTGTCTGGTGTTGCTTGATGTGTACAGACAGCTTCGCCATTGTCGTCTGGTCGGCCATCGCGAGGCGTTCGGCTGGCTTCTCTCGATCTAAGCCTTCTGAGGCTGCTCTGCCGAATCCAACCCATAACACCTCTGCTGTCAGTTCTTTCTGCCCCAGATACTGTCTTCTCAGCCCCCCCTTTCTCTCCGCGTTGGCCTCCCATGGTGTAAGAGGACCTCTGGTCCAGGGCAGACCACCGCGCCGCCGTGCGAACGAGTTGCCGCTATTTTGTGAATTCCATCGCTAATAGCCCCAAAACATAGATGAATAAGTTCATTTGACAACAGATTTATCTTAGGTTTCACTCAAAAGAGGGAAGAAGGTCTGCACATGCAGCCGCGTCAACTTCTAAGCTCCTGGCCTGACCAGGCGGTGTGAGCCCCTTGGACTCGATTGACCACTCGAAAGTTGATTAAAGCGCTTAATCACCAATCCATTGATACCCTGTTTAAAAATACTTTTGTCGTTTGTTCTGTTCAGCTAGTTCGGCTGTATGAACCGTTTAAATCCATGAACGAAGAAAGCGGCGCCTCTCTCTCGTTCGCCGGGTTTCAGCGAAAGAAAGTCATCCCGCTCTCTCCTTGTCTTCCTTGCATCAGTCTTTGCGAATTATCATCATCCCCTTACTAGTTTCCTTTCACTTTCTCTAGCTTTGTTTCCCTCACTTTTCCTGTCTGGCGTATATACATTAATAAAGGCAGCAACACTGGGGCCCGCTCCTGTCGGCCGCATTCAGGTTCCAGGTGATCGCGAGGATTTGTGTTCTTCTCCAGGTGACGCTTTTAAATGTGTGAGTACAATATTTAGAGTGATAGACGGAATACAACAAAGACAATTGCGCGAACAGTGAGATCGCTTCGCGCGTTGCGCAATCGAACTTAGTAGGCAGTTTGCTGCGGCGCAAGCATGAAAAACCCAGAGGCCGCCTCCACTGTAATATATAGCTGAGAATATGGGTTGAATCGACAAGGTATGCGATACAACAGGACGACAACTGTTTGTTTGTCCCGCGTTCTGGCGCTGAATTGATAGCTCCTGAAAAGGACACAAAGGCAATGCCGCTTAGATATAGCCGCACCAAAAGAACAGCCCTAATAAGAGGCAGGTAACATGAAGAGTGCAAATTATGCATGCATTATATGTGCTGAATGCAAATAACGTCTATTTGCTTGGAGCGGTATCTTAAATTTCTTACATGAGGGTTAAATAAACCTTAGGGAACGGATGTTCCTTCAGGCTTTGTTGCACATTACTTTCTCATTGGCACATTATGCAGTCTAAACATACATAAAGTACTGACGTGTTGTTCTATCGACGTTAATTCGCATGAAATGGAGGGGATATGGGCCGTTGTCTAGTTATGTGCATTTCTCCCTCGGCGGAAATGACTTGGTAGCCGGGAAGTTGCAGCGCGTGTTGTGTTGCCTTGTTTCTTGCTTTTGCTTGACTTTATTTTCCGTTTTTGTTGTGTTCGCTAGAACTGTTTTGGCCTCGTTGCCTGTATGCGGACGGGCAGACAGCCCACGGTTTGTGCTGTCTACTCCTTTGCCTGTCCGTCTGTTCTGGAATACTTAGCTGAAGGTAGTGCTGCTGCAACTCAGCATTATGAGTTTAATGATTTCGCAAAAAATAACAGAAAGTGGAAGAAGATACAAATTGAAACCCTCGTTCCGTGAACTCACGGCCGCACGCCGCATTCAAGTTTCGGGGAATCTCGAGAAATTTTGTTTTTCTTGAGTTTGGCACTTTCCGTTTTTGCAATGCCGAGAACGACACAACAAATACAGCATCACGAGTCCCCCAGTGCGTGTCTGAACGCGCGACACAAAAGGGAAGTACAAGTTGATGCGTTCTCCAATCCAAAGCATTCAACAAAGCATTTAGTCGTTTTATAACCATAAAATGATTTTACAATTCACAGAAACTAGCGACAGTAGCGCCATCTACAGCTTCGTTTACTTATCCAACTTCTTCAACCGGGGAGAGGACACACGGCGCAGAGCCAGCCACACTGTGCTGCTCTGCTTTACACTGCAACTCCTCAGGAGGTAATAATAATTTCATGCAATATGCATTAAGCTACAAAAGAAGCAATTTCCCCCTCCTACATCAGTCCCTTGGACACCCACAACATTCATTTACTCACTCGCCTGACGTCCTCTGCCGAGCCCCCCCCGTTACTGTTGTTTCCTGGAGTGGAGAGCAGCGCCAAAGCAACCCGTTAGAAAGAAAGCCCCAAAATATTGACACAACTGCATGCATGCACATGCATATGCATGCGCGCAACTGTATTCATGTACGTTTGCATGCCTGCAGTGTCTGCCTGAGCCAGAGGGTGACTGCCGAGACGTTATGCTAATAAGAACGAACGGCTACTCAGGACCTGCTCTGTACACACTGTCGAAACAAAACTCAAGGTATCGGACAGTGCTGGGCCTACACCCGTGATGTGCTACGGCAGCTGCAGCAGTGGGAGACGGACAACCGAAGCTTCTGGTCCGCTCTGGTCCGTTTATATTTGTCGTCGGGGTATGCGGCTCGTATTTATTGGTAGAAAACAGCATCGAGTGTCTACTACTGTTACTACTACTCTTACTATTCCTGGTACTACTGGAGGGGGGAGGGAGGGATGGAAGGGGACGGGGGCGGATGAGCGGTCACTTCGACGCGCTGAGCCCGACTGGCTACTGGATTTTAGTGCCAACTGATAGGATATGAAATGTTGTGAGTGGGTTGGTTAATTGCCTGAACAGCAAACAGCGTGCTAATGCCCCTGCCGCTGCCTATCTACGTGTGTGTCCATTGCTTTCTCTGCTCATTCCCGCATATAGGGGGCTGTGGCCATTCCTTGGGCGCATAAGGGGCAGTCGCCAGCCCCTTTGGTGGCCTCTGTAAGCGGCCCGCTTGGATAGGCAAGCCTTATGGGTAGCCGAGAGGTAGCTAAAAAAGAGGAAGTACGGCTGAAGCAGAAGTGCTTCCGCGTGAGTTTGACTTGAGGAGTATGGTTATCACGCCTAACTCTTCCTTTCACTGTGTCGCTGCTTAATAGAGGAACACCTCAACCTATTCTCATTCCCAGTTATCATGTACTGTTCCTCCCCGCTTTGTGCGTTTCGTATAACGCAGCCTAGCATGCCTTCAACGTTCACATATGGAGCATAAAGGGGGGCACAAGGCGGTGGCACCTGCGCAAGCGTTGCTTCTGAAGAGTTGCAGAGGGTTTGATGACACCTAATTGTTGAAAGCTGTACACAGTGACAGACATGCAGCATAAAACCGCCGGATTCATTCGTGGCACGCGACGCAGTCGGGCGGGTGTACGTATAGCAGGGAAGCGGGATAGTGGCAGTGGAAAGCAGCGGCAATGAAACATAAGGATGAACTATATGGTATCTATTTTTGATTTAAAAATTAAATTGGGCGAAATCGTGACCGTTGCTCAGCCAGGATAGGGCGCTCAGAGGCCCCAGCAGCCCCCGTATTTCGTAGATGTTGCTAGGGGTCGCTCAGTTCGTCGTGGAAGCTGTTGCGGTTGTGCCGCTTCTTCTTCGCGTGAACTGTGAGTTATTCCATTAGGCGTTCTTCTGGGGGGGAAAATAAAGAAGTGTTTTGTTCTTTGAATAGGGTGGGAGAAGAAAATAAGAGGGAGTGCAAAGGGAGCGCTTCTCGGTCTCCGTCTCTCTCACCTGCATCGTATGGTTTTCTCCCTCTTCTTTTCCATCTCTTCCAAACCCCGTTGTTAAAAGTTCACAGAGGTATTCCAGTCAAGCAAGCCAGTGATCAGCGCCGCAGTTTCCTCTCTCTAGATCCTGGTGTACATACACCTCGATTTGCGTTCAGATCGAGTGGCTTTCGGCATTTCAACCGAACTGCACGGGTTTCGCGTTTCTGCGTTGTTTTCTCCTTCAACGATCCCCTAAAGGAGTATTTAGTCGATCTTTTTCTCAAGTCGTTCAGTCGTAACACGCAGCTAGACAGTCGGGGGTCCGTTGCCTTCCCACGTCTCTCCAGCATGAGGTCTTAAAGAAGAGAGCGTTAAGAGATGGGGGCCCCAATATGCAGTGGACAGGTTGCCTCCTCTGTGCGTTCTCGTCGAACTTCTAGCTCAACACAACCCGATGAGCACGACGCGCTTTGCTACCCCCCAGCTGCTGCTGCTTTAGCAGCGGCAAGTGAGAGAAAAACCCAGAATCTCTGTAGGCATGGGTGCAGCAGTCGTCCGGTGTTGAAGTACTCTCTTTTCGCGGTCCTCCTCTTATCTTGTCTCTGTTTCGGTTACATACTGGGCGCCCTCTATCCCCCAGGAGCGACCGAAGTGAGCTGATTGCCTGATGCAACATGGCTTCCTTTTTCCTCTGAGTGTTACTCTCTGCTGTGCTTTGAAGGCAGTGTAGTGAAGCCGCTCGGTCCTAGGGTTGAACCTACCACCATAGCCTTCTTGTTTGCCTGTTTCTGTTGTGCTGCGTTCCAGCAGAACTCGTCTCCCCCTTCAGCATGGACGCATCAGCACCGCCGGCTGTCTGCTTCTGGGGGGGACGAAGACGGCAGTGGAGGCGGTTTTGATTTGCCAGACAGGGCTAATGAAAAGGGAGGGGAGGGCAAGGAGGGGCCCCCACAGGGCCCCAAGGGGGCCCCTGAGGAGGCAGGTCAAGGAGGCAGCAGCAACCGTGACACCCAAATGGTGTCTGGAGCAGACACACGAATGGTCTCTGTTCCTACGCATTCGTCCCCCGCCTCCTCTCCCGCTTCCACGCCCCCCCCAGGCAGCACAGATGTCCCCGCAGGACCGGAAGGTGCCGCAGCAGCAACGCAGGCAGCTGCAGCGGCAGGAGCAGCAGCTGCTGCTGCTGCCGCTGCAGCTGATGCTGATAGGGGCAAACACGCAGGAGACGTTTCATCGGGTCCTTCATCGCCTGCTCAGTCGTCCTCTCCAGCCATGGAAAGCAGCTCAGGAGGGAGGGGCACATCAACACGCAAACAACGGCGCAGAAAGAGGAAGGCGGAGCTGATTAATGGTAAATATCTGCAAATATATATATATATATATATATATATATATATATATATATATATATATATATATATATATATATA